ACAGGTTGAAAGTAATCCAGGACGAATAGCATTTTCTCCATGTAGTCAACAGATGGCTGTTGGAGATAGGGAAGGGTTGATTAGTGTAGCGGATATTGAGGCAGGGTCAATATTACGTGTATTTAAAGGACACACCAATTGGATCAAAGCTATAGCCTATTCGCCTGATGGAAGATACATTGCTTCAAGCAGTGCTGACATGACAGTGCGAGTGTGGGATCCAAAATCAGGTCAGTGTTTGATCGTAATCCCATTTGACGTTGGGGAAGTTTGGACGCTTGTATGGAATGCCTCTGAAGAGGGCCACTATCTGGTTACAGGCTGTATGGGTGGTTCTATTCGGAAGTGGCAGATTGTGAAGGAGGATGAGGAATACCAATACCGTCTAAAGTGGAGCACCAGACAAACGACCCTTAATGCAAACAATGCTCGTATTCACTCTGTAGGTGGGTTGAGTGAAGTCAACAGGAAGCTCCTAATGCAACGTGGAGCTATAGACGAGCAACCCTCCTCTTTAGCTGTACAAGAGGCGATCAAGAGTGTAGGAACGCCACCAATAGCATCCAAGGCAAAGAGTGGGTCCAGTCAAGTGGGTCATTATCAAGAACCATCACCAATAGCATATTTAAATGCAGGTTTAGAGGCAGATTTAGAGGTAGAAGATCTGAGGGAAGAAGCACGATTGACAAGGCTGACAGAAATGAGCCAATCGATCGGAGGCTACCGGCTCAAATGCAGAGCTTGCAATGAATGTAGCATTGCACATGTCATTTCATGCGAGCCTTGTGAGTCCAGAGTCAAGAGGGTAGATAGACACGAAGTCGTCCAGGATATAGAATAAAGTGCAAATATTGCCTCTTTACAATCACACAATAAAAAAGAAAGTGCCTCTTGAATAAGATAAGATAGCTTGAGAATGTTGTATTTATAGCAGAATGTGTAGTAACTACATCTATATATTAGAGGTCTGAACAATCCCACTCTGCTGGAGTCAAGTATACCGCATCACCACTTTCAACGCTCGACAGCTGCTGTAGTGATCCTGCAAGGCAAGAAGTATGGGTACATCTTCTGGCTCTTTGGCTTAATCTCTATTTCTATTTTCATTTCTATTTTCATTTTTATTTTCATTTTTATATTGGTTAAAAAAAGTTCTGATGGGTCAAGCCCATACGGATAAAGATAAAAGTACAGACTTTGTTAGTGTCAAACGGCTTATTCATATTCATAGGTTGTATAATGAACCACTCTGTGATTTTATCGAGTACCCATGTTTTGTCCACAATCACCGCTTTGCCATTCAACTTTGAGCATAGAGGTGATCGGAGATGGAGGTATTACCTCAAGTTAAGCGGGATCTTGCCTTCACCCTATCATTCACCACAGTGACACAATTATTTTTTTTTCTTTGAAGCGAAGTACATTGGTTGGCCATTAACTCTTTGCTTTACTATGCTATCGTACGCAGAAGGTTTTTTTTTTTTTTTTTTTTTTTTTTTTTCAAAACTGATACCATCCGTAGATGATCCTGCTGTTGATAGAATTTCGTTCCCATCTTCCGGGATGATTCCATGATATGTCGTCGTCTGGGAAGAGAGGCTGCGTCTAATGCTGCAACATCTCAAGTTCAGTCTTGATGCCTTGGAGGACAATTCGATCCTGACCGTGATCTAGTTCAGCACATGTCATTTCCATCAGCTTCAGCTGATCCACTTCATTGAACTGTTGTATCATCTTGATCTCCATCCCCATCTGAAGATCTTGACGCATCAATGCATGTTGCGATTGGCAGCCATTTATATATTTTTACTATAGCTAAGATATTTGCCCTTGTTTTCTAACAAAGATCCTTGATTACAATAAAGATATCTTTCTTTCGTTCTCGTTACTTGTTAAGATCCCAGCATATTCCAGAGTCACTATGTTTGGATTTATGCCTTTATATTTATTTTTGATCTTTGCTATGCTATTGTTTCTGAGCTACGTATTTCCTCGCGGCGTTTGAAAACTATGGAGGAGATGGATGGCTATGGTGATACATAAGTCTATACTAACTGCGGTTGTTCTCATCGCTGGATGTTTGGGAGTACTATTTTACGGATTAATAGCGTCAAGGAAGTTGTACGGTTGTACTTTGGCTCGAGTTCACTAACCATTACCCCATTTTTCCCTCTCCTCTCTACACCTCCTTCCTCTATCCAGCTTTAGGTAATGTATAGCTGAGCAGGATCACCCTTCGGATAGACAACCACTGCTACTCACTAGTGAGATGGCAAATGGTCACAAGTGAGTGAGTAGGAATATCGATTCATCCTATCGGACTGGTGACAACAGTTGAGGCATACAAGGATAATCCAGATGATGACAAATATGTCAGGGATGATGAAGGGACGTTGGCTCGATATCAGGCTAGTCTTTAAGAGATAAGGACCCCTAGGACGTGGCCGGCGCTTGCCGTAAACATTTATTATGATAGTTTCGCAACAAATAAATAAATAAATAAAAAAAGAGGCTTTACTGGGGTAGCAAGTATAGTTCAATCATTTCATATTTGTTTCTTTATTCATGACCTTTTGTTCTTTACATTCCTTTTGAAGGAGGCATCGCCATTTCTGACCCTTTACCGTGAAGGAGAAGAGGAAGTCCGACTCCCTAAATTATCCACAAGCAAAAGTGGGGTACCATGTTTTGAGAGGACTGGGGTTACCTTTTAGCTCTTCGCAAAAGAGGTGTGTACCTGTCTTTACTTCAAAAAAGAATAGCATTGCCAAGATACAAAAGAATACTAAACCATGTAACAGGAACTCTTGCATTGAGGCTAAGAATGTCAAGTTTGGTCCCAGCCTGAGAGTGTCTGCAAGAGCAAGCCACATTTGCCTTTCAGCACATGCATATGCACATCCACGTGCATATATGGAGATCCATCAGTAGGTGGCTTCGGTTTGCTCGTGCATATATGGAGAATTCAAGTGTAGGCCCCCTGAAGTAAGAAAAGTAAATTTTCGGTAAGAAAAGTATATTTTCAGTAAATATCAGTAAAACAAAAGTAAGAAAAGTATATTTTCGGTAAATATCAGTAAAACAAAAATATACTTATTACTTACTTTTGTTTTACTGAAATTTACTTACTTATTATTTACTTTTGTTTTACTGAACGTTTACTTTTTTTTTTTTTTACCGATGTTTAAGTAAATAATAAGTAAAAAATCAGTAAATGATCAGCGAATGGTCTACAGAGGACGGCCTATTCGCATTGTCTTAGGTGTCATGGACATATGTCCCTCCCTTTCCCTCCCATGTTGCGCTCTCAAGAAGATGAGGAGTATTGTCTTCAGAGTTAGGTAGTCTTTTATTTAGTTTTGTTTTGATTTTCGTCGGATTTCTAAATAAAAGAAGGTCGCACACATATGGACATGGCACCGTAGACAATAATAAGTAAAATTTACTGAAAAAAAGTTCAAGTACACGAATGCTCACTACATCGGTATGGGTCACTGCCTTGAACCACAGCCTCCTCTGCGGAAAAAGGGTGGAGAGCATAAATATCACCTTATAACTAACATAGATCCTATATACACCAATTACCCCAATTGTTCGGCAGAGTTGCTGTTGGAATGTGGGTCTGTGGGGCTTGAATTATCCCCTTTGGATTTGCAGATATCAGTAGTAGAGGCTGAAGAGCCAAGCGTCGGCTATCAATAAACCTCTCTTCTTTATCCACCTAAAGACTGAAATGGCGATAACCCGCCGCGTTTGTTTTCCATAGGTCGTTTTTTTTAATAGTTGCCTGAAGGAAATGACTTCGCCCAAGACCAATAAAAATAAGCAATGCTTAAATTACATTGTGGACGTAAAAAAAGTAACAAGAGGCCAGTGCGATATTTATCAGGCCTCTATTTAAGTTGGAATTTTCTGCTGTCTCTTGCATTCTCTCATTTTACTACAATATCTTTCGTTTTCAACAGTGCCCTCAGCATCAAAATTTGATTGCATCATTGTAATTACATGACCTACACCTGTAATTCGGTGCAACAGTAACAGCTATGCCAGATGGACCTTCAAGATACAAGGTGTGTTGAATCTCCTTGTGCTTCATTTTTTTTTTTTTTTTTTTTTTTTTTTTGGCACTGTAATAGTTGGTGTTTTCTGATTCCGAACAAATGTCTTTATTACCCCGTTGCACTATTAAATGCGCTGAACAGGATATTACCCCCATACAGAGGCAAAGGTATGCAATATAAAGTCTTTTTTTATTTTATTTTATTTTTTTTTTTGGGAGGTTTTATCTTTATTTTATTTCATTTTTAACTCTGCATCGTTATTATTGGTAGCACCCCTATGGCGAGGGTATGTAGTATTTGTGGACACTTAGGACACAACCGAAGCACATGTCCAAGTATTGAAGGGTGAGCTCCAATCCAATATTTTGATGTTTCGATGTGTGATCCTCAGCAATACATTTTTTTCAGTCCTAAATTATCAGTCTCTTATGCAATGGCATCGTTAGTGGTCCCATGCAAAATTGAGCCGAGCCTGTGGCGACTCGCAGAAGCATTAGCCTTGATGATCCTGTTGAAAGCGAAAGACCAGAGCGAAGACGAAGGTAAGCTACTCTTGGTTCACATTTTATTGATTTTATAATTTACTTACGAATTACATTTTTAACTTAACATCATTATCATTGCCCTCTAGGCTACGGTCACCCTATCGGCCTGTGCAACGGCATTGCAGTATATGCAATCGCCCAAGACATAACCGAAGCACATGTCCCAATAAAGATAAGTCTGACCTCCCCTTATTATTATCTAGTGTAAAAATATAGTGATAAAAAGTGAGAAAGCTCTATAAAATATTTATAAAAATCGGTGATTCTATTTTCAATACAATAGTATGGATACTGTATGTTGCGATTAGCAGTCATTTATATGGGTTTTTACTATACCCTTTTTATTTAACGAAGATCCCTGGATCATAGTAAACACATCTTTCTTTCGTTCTCGTTACTTATTATGATCCTGGCATATTTCACTAAGGACCGCATCTACTACATTTTTTTTTTTGCTTACTACCCCCAAGTTCAGCAGCCGGCCTATTTCCTCTCGTACATCGAGATTAGACCATAATATACTCAGAAGGCAGTCTTCAGTTAAGTAGAGAGACTGAGGCGAGAAAGCAGATCTAGGAAAATCCACATATTTTTCGGCAGTGGCATTTTGCTCAAAAAAGAATTGGATGGAGCTTCTTTCAGCGGGTTTATCACTGTCAAACTAGACATTATATTTAAGAGAGTGATTAGTATTTACATATAGAAACATATATGAATGTATTATAAGACAGCTTCAAAATATTATCTTTACCTGTGCATTCCGATAATGAGATCTTAGTGCCGCTTGAACAACTCTCATGACCATCTGGCTTGACTTGCCGACTGTCAAACGGGGATAGATCGTTTTTAAAGGCTCGAACCCTGTTTCTGTACAAAAGTATTCGTATGCTTGGAGCTGGGACGGCTTGACTACATTTTCTTGGCCATATTTCTTCACATTCTTCACATAATCGGCTCTTGAACCGACCTTCCCATGATACAACAACGTACCAAGGCCGTAAATAAATTTCTGGGAATCTAGAACTTTATTCAGGAGTTGTGTGAGATCTGTTGGCGCAGTGGTAAGCAGCATATCAATCCACAAGGCGCAGGTCCAGAAAGCTTGAACCCGTAACTCATTCAACATTTCGACAAAGGATTGAATGGGCTCTGGGATCATAACAGCAAGTTCGGGCATGGCAACGGGATTGGGTGCGGAGTCGGATTCGAGCTTGGCCATTATACACGTCTTGGGCGTACCCAGAGTTAATGCAATAGTGGGGTGAACCCTTTTCAACCGTCGATCCTTGGCAGTGACCTCCTTCACTTGCTTTTGTATACCAGTCAAGTCGGCGTAGACGATCCTCCCTTGGTTCTTCTTTTTCTCCTTCTTTTGCTCAACCTTCTCTTCTTTCTCTTCTTTCTTTTCCTTCTCCTTCTTTACCTTGGGCTTTCTTTGATGGCTGGGGACGGGACGGTCATGTTGTTTACAGTTGGTCAGGTCATACTTCTTGGGGGAGAGTTCCCTTTCCGCAGTAGGGAAAACAGGTCGATAGCGGTTCGGCTTTGCGCGTTTAGGTATAAAGAACCTAATTACGAAACAACAATGTCAAGGGTTAGATGGCTTTTTAGTTTGAACTTGCTTTTCGTATATGCTCTGAAAAATGTTCATTTGAAGGAGCTTACCTGGGTTGAACAGGGTGTGTATCCATCCCACTTGGGCTTTTGTGTTCATTTTTTGAAGATCCAGGAGTCATTACCGGGAGACCAGATGGTGAATCAACTATGAATTAGTGGAGAAAAATTATTAGCTGGATAGTCGACAGATAAATGTGAGTAATAAAATAAGCTACAAAAGTAACATTACGCTTACAAGTAGAGTACCGATCTTCAATCAGAGCATTTCTTATAGCTAAGGGTATCAACAAATATAGATCAGAAAATAGACTTGGATTTAATGAAAGCAACCCTGGGACTTGGGTTCTATTACCTCGATGCTTCTGTGCAAGATGTATTCATTCCTGATGTGAATCGGCTAGCCTTTTGGATGGGTTCTCAAGTGAGATTATATCACTTTCAGCGACCACTCGATCTCTATAGTAAGTATCTAGATGTTCATTGCGTAGAGACGGAGCAGCATTTGCAGCAACCCTTACGTTCAGATAAAGGGACCCTCTGAGGGTTTGGATCCAACGGTCCCACTCATGTATAAGCTGATTAGAATATTCACGTTTTACTGCCCGAGTTGACCCTGTTGATTAAGGAAGTAGCCTGTGCCAACCCTTTTCAAACTGATACTATCTTTCCAACTGGATCGTTTTTTTGCGGTTTTATCTATCATGATTTTCTATTGCTCATAATAAAATAAAATAGAAAAAATAAAACATTAGATTTGTTTAAGGACATTTATATAGATGTAGATAACAAGTTTCTCTTGACAGAACAAGACTGTCCTTGTCTATATCTATCGCAACTGCCAAGGTACACCATTCAAGATAATGAACACCTCAGCAGGATCACGATGAACATACAGATGGCACCATATGTGTATGTCATATGATGACCAATTCAAATGATTACCTTTGAGAAAACAGGTAAATCTTGACTGACGATAGCAAAGAACAGAAGATAAAGGGTGAATTAGTTGTAATAAACAATAACGAGCCGGAGACCGTGGCTTTGCCACGGCCGGCTCTTGCCTCGTTAGAATTTTTATGAAGACAAAATAAAGCGTTACCATCTATAACATTTTTATTGACCGGGATCTTTTTTACCATTTTAAAAACTACAAACTATATAGAAATACAATAAAGCAAAATCCGGTAAATTGTATACAGCAGTAAAATAAACAAAAAATAAAATACAAAATAAGGAAGAATATCTAGAAGATACGGTAGTAAATGAGAGGATGCTTATTTACAAACCATCCTTGGAGACAATGTTCCGCAACTATAGCTCAGGTCTGAGATTTAGCTCAATTGCACCCATTGTACCGATATATGCATCCGCCTTCAGCTTGGACTGGTATTCGCTGATGAACTGAAGCCGATCCACCCCCAGTCTGCTGTATTGGTCGGTAGCGTACTAATAAGTCAAGCATGTATTCATCCTGATGAAAAATCGCTGGTCTGTTGAGCTCAAAGGATGAATCTGCAGCCTGTACGTGTAAAACTCCTCCAGCTTGGCGTATTCTCGACTTTTCCTAGCTCGGCCATCGCCCTCACCTACATCCACCTCTAGCTGGCCGTTTTCGCTACCGTCATAGCTGTCACCATGAGGCCCTGCAGAGGTTTGACCTGGCCTAGGCCATTTTTTATATGTCCAGTCCTCGCCTTTTGGATGCAAGAGGTTATTATCCTCGTAGCCATGGTCCATATGTGTGTGACCTCTTTTTATTCCTTCTGACCGAGAAAAAACTAAAAATAAAATAAATAAAATCTAGCGTTCGCTCTGATCTACTCTCTATCTTCTTTTTTCTCGCTCAGGAACACATCCAGCGTATTGAAGTTCCAAATGAGCGAGTATGACACTTCTGATCCAATTATACACTCTCTCCAGAGCCAGCTGGCTACACTCACCAGCCGGCTTGAAGCTCTCTCGACTAGCTCTGAATCCAGTCGATCGAACCCCTACTTGGTTCCAAAAGAACCAGCTTACGAAATTACACCTGACGACTCCATTCTCGTCCACTACCCAGCAATGGACGGGAAAGATTTTTTCAAACATAAATCTGGAAACCGTGCAGACGATCTTGCATATGCAACAGAAATGGCTAAAGAGATGCAGTCTTTTGCCAAAAACACAACCCAAACCTATTCTGCACCCAAATCGGCACTCATTGACTGGCCCGACTCTTCCTCTCACCACAGTTCCACGGACAAAACAATCTCACGCTATCAATCACGATTGGCAAACCTTACAAGACCACTTGATCAATTTGCCACGGAAATGTTTTCCTACGAAGTTGACCCTGCGGTCGCACAAGCGTGTTTACAGCTCGCACAGACAATGCGTGAACATATTGCACACCTTGCACAGCAAATGTCAAGCGACAGGGAGGACCTTGTTTACCAAGCGCACAAAATTTCAGTCACCAAGGACACAGTTGATCCACCAATTGTCTCTACTTCAGACTTCATTGAAGCCAGCAAATTGGCAAAGAGTGTTCGTCAGGCTACTAACCCGACAAGACAACGGGCGTACAACAGGAGGACTCAAAACCGGAGTTTCTTTAGCGCAAATACTTACAGACCCACTTCTAATTCTAGCCAATCTCATCCATCGGGTCAAACTCAGACCGCCCACTATCAAAATGACAATGGTTCTTTTTTTGGGCGAGGCCAAAATCCAAGGAGAGGGGGACGAGGCCGAGGCCGAGGCTACCAAACCCCTCAATCCAACCAGACAAGTCAGGCACAGACTGCAGGCCAGCAGTAGGTGGCCGTTTACAGATTTACAGAGAAGCATGGGCTCTCATAACCGACAACGAATGGGTCAAGTCGGTCGTCTCCGAGGGATTCAAAATCCCTTTCCACAAACGGCCACCGATATCCAGTTCAACAGCGTACCAAGCTCGAGTAGCAGCGGAGGAAGAGAAGGCGATCGATCAAGAGGTAATCGCACTCTTAGCCAAAAGAGCAATAGAGGTCGCTTCGGGCCCTGGTTTCAAGAGCCGAATATTCACTCTCCCCAAGAAAACCGGGGACATTCGTCCAGTCTTAAATCTAAGACCGTTGAATGCCTACGTCTCAGAGCGGCACTTCAAAATGGAGACGATGACGACAGTATGCGCAATGTTACAGAAGAACGACTTTATGACAAGCATCGACCTATCAGACGCATTTCTTCACGTACTAATCCATCCAGATTATCGTCATTATCTACAGTTCCAATGGAAGAACCGGAAATTTCAATTCCGTACACTTCCCTTCGGGCTCTCACTCTCTCCGCTAGTGTTCACCAAAGTTCTCAAGCCTTTCCTCAAATGGGCACGACGACGAGGAATTCGCATATCAGCGTACCTAGACGATTTGATAATCCTAGCCAAGAACAAAGAACAATCAATCCAGTTCACTCAACTAGTGCAAGACAAGTTGGCAGCGCTAGGATTCCTCATCAAGGAAGCCAAGTCTACGTTGATCCCGTCACAGAAAATAGACCATTTAGGCTTCACCATCAACTCCCGGGATATGACTGTCACAGTTCCGAAATCCAAAGTCAGGGACATACGGCGCGAGGCAGGAAAGCTACTACGAAAAGGCGCCACTTCTTTAAGGGAACTTTCTTCGTTCGTCGGGAAAGCAATGGCAACATCTATGGCAGTGTTCCCAGCGCGATTCATGACACGGAATCTGCTTCACCTCAAGAACACAGCACTAAAAGCCAAGGGAGCTTCTTGGTCGGACACGGTCACCCTCACGGAACCAGCCAAGGAGAACCTTCAATGGTGGAAGGAGCAATTGACGTCATGGAATGGTCTGTCATGGATTCAACAACAGACACAAATGGACATATACACGGATGCATCGGACACCGGATGGGGGATCGTGATCAACAATCAAACATGGAGTGGCAAATGGACTCCACAAGAGAAAGACCACCACATCAACTGGAAGGAACTACAGACAGTTCTTCGAGCTGTTCAACTACCAATAACACAGGGCAAAATGATCAACATCATATGCGACAACACGACAACGATTGCACACATCAACAGGTTCGGAGGGACGAGGTCTCCGGAACTAATGAGACTAGCGGACACGTTATGGCGTCACTGCCTAGCAACGGGGACTCGACTTCGGACGACATACATCCCATCTGCATTCAACCCAGCGGATGCACCGTCACGGCGAATGATATCGCAATTGGAATGGAGGATCAGTCGCCCATTCTTTCAACAACTGGAACACCAATGGGGGCCACATCAGGTGGACCTATTTGCGTCGGCACAGAACAAACAGCTACCGACATTTGTCTCATGGAAATTCCATCCAGATGCTCTGAAGATAGACGCCCTTCAACACAACTGGACAGAGATGGGCAACCTTTACATTTGCCCCCCATGGAATCTTCTATCAATCATCTTGGAGAGGATACAGACCCAGAAACTGACAGCAACAGTAATAACCCCATGGTGGCCGAGTGCAATATGGTTCCCAACCATCAAGGAGATGGCAGTAGCACCACCAATCCCGATCCCTCGGGAAGCAGTCCTACCAGCCGTCGGAAGCGCAAGCGATCTCCTCAGCAAGAATCCACTCTGGTCATTGACAGCATGGAGAATAAGAGGCGACGTAAAGATCTAGATGCAGGACTCTCACCATCCGCTATCACTCTACTAGATTCAGCAGGTGCCAACAGCAAAACACGTCGACAATATCTGCCAACTCAAGAGGCTTTCGCAGTATGGGCTCAACAAGAAGGCTTCGACCCTAGTACGCCAAATGCAATTGCTGTAGTTAACTATTTATGCCATGCGCGGATTATCTATTCTTGGAGTAGGAATACCACTCTTAACAAAAAATCAGCCATCTTAAAGCTTTACGACGACACATCCGTGATCACAGGCAATATCTACTTTCAGCGGTTCATGGCAGCAATGAAAAGTACTGGCGTATTTCAAATGGAGCACGTATCCGCACTCGACATTTCACCCATCCTTTCATACTTCCGCATGGAGGACAATGTGGATCTTGATATGCCTAAGCTCTCTCGCAAGCTCTGCTGGCTCTTAGGCGTTTGTGCGTTTCTCCGGCCAGATGATATCGGTTGCATCGATGTGTCAAAGTCAGAGACCAATGAAAAGGGTCTTCTCCTTACCATAGTCTTCCCTAAGGAGCGACGCGATGGGCAGCGCATCATAAAGTCGATCTTCGTAGGTAGACACCCTAACGACAAGAAAATTTGCCCAGTCGAGGCCTATACAGAATACACCAGACGGATAGCGGACACACCTCTCGAAATCGAGCACCACAAAGATCAGGATTATAAATTCAATCCTCTTATGCGCTTTGTGAAAGACAAGTCTAAAGTCCTTAGGGTCAGTACCATAGGCACTTTTATGAATGAAATCACACGTCGAATTCCAAATCTTCCGTCGAAACGGCCTCCTCCAAAGCCGCGCGCTATAGGATCAACCTTGGCAGCCATCGCTGGCGTATCAACCCAAGATATCATGGTTCAAGGGAATTGGTCGTCTGACAAGGTTTTCAACAAACACTACCGTGTTTCCCGCAAAACCAATTCAAATTTGACGACGTCTGTTTTTGGTTCGCTCTGAAGTCACATATGGACCATGGCTACGAGGATAATGATCTGGAAGTGCTACAAAGGACGCACTATCCTCATTATCAGAGTAGCCATGGGACATATGTCCCTCCCACACCTCCCTTTTCTTTTCACTCGTTACTAGATAGAGAGTAGATCAGAGCGAACGCTAGATTTTATTTATTTTATTTTTAGTTTTTTCTCGGTCAGAAGGAATAAAAAGAGGTCACACACATATGTCCCATGGCTACTCTGATAATGAGGATAGTGCGTCCTTTGTAGCACTTCCAGATCATTATGGAGGCTCTCGTGAGCTGGATGAACCTCACTGGTTTTTTTCAAACCACTGGCTCTGCTTTCAATTATGATGCCTTGCTGAGAAACCTTACTACTGGCGCCAGCCATCAATAGCACGATTCCAGTTGATGAGAGGGCCTGTACTGCATTCGCCTTTGCCCTCTCCCCTCATGCTGAGGCCCAGCACGGATGACGACCTTCAGCCGCATGATATCCTCGTGCGCACATTCTCTGACATCTTTGAGCGTATGGGCTATCGGGTAGTGTAGTTCAAGGAGCTACTGTGGTTACTGCAACAGGCCTTCATCAAGGAATCCCCGAAATGGTTATTACGGAGTCTTGCTTGCTGAGCAGGGTCATGAATGTGAGCATGAGCCTGCAGGAACAGAGAGGCAGCGCCTTCAGTTGGCGTCATAGGATCAATCAGAGTACCAACCCTTCCAATGGTACGAAGCCTGTACACTCCATATAGGTTGTTCGCAAGGTCTTTATCAAGGTTCACTTCCATGGACGTGAACGAAAGAGCGCAGTTATATGCTTATATGTGTTAACGGAATAACTTACCTTGCGGCTCTGCCCATCAAGAAGTTAAACCAAGGCTAAGTGGAGGAATATCCACTTGACCTCTCCCACAGCATAAAGGAAATTCTGGTCGGCTTTTACTACTGCGTTGCACACACATTCTTCAATAAACATGAAGGCACCGCAATAATGGCAACTGACCGGTACCTATATTGCATAATATTGGAACCCGAAACGAAATCCAGCTGAAACCTTTTTCTAGCGGGTGGTAGAAAGTTGTCTTCGATAGAGGAATTATCTTCGGTAGAAGGAGCATCCTCAACAGAAGGATCACCTTTACGCTCGTGTATTCTGAAGGTCAATGGTAAATGGTAAATGGTAATTGTGTAAGATTAAGTACACGCAATGTATAATACAGTATAATAAGCCAATAAAAAACCGAACAAAAAGTAGCACACCCTTGTCTTTGCACGGGTCTTTCATTTTCATCTCCACCATCTCCAAAACAATACTTCGTGTGCACACAGGCCTAGCGCCATTTTGCACTGAGTTACTAACAACGCTATTAAAGCAAGCAGTAAAAAGGAAAAAGCTAAGGATTAATAGTCTATTGCTGAGACGAAAAAATCCAACCGTTGAAAATCAAACTCACCCTTTATTACTTGAGCATGGTCTACATCTACTCCTAGGCAACTGCAGATACTGCATTTATACACTGTAGGAGCTGGTTGACGGTGCTCGCCCTGCAGGTAAGTAATAATGATGGAGGGTTAAAAAAAGAATGACAAAATCTAATGAATATAAAATAGGAACCTTTGCCTTCGAATTGACCCAATATTCTGCACATCGTTGCTGGCAGCGTTATTCAAGTTATAGAAGGTATATAAGCTTAAGCTCAGCATGCACCAACCACTACCATGTCAAAATAAAATAAAATAAAATAAAAAAAAAAAAAAGTTTTCTACGATTGTTAAATACCGAAATCACTCATTCTTAATTATTTGGGTATGAGCTGCGCACATGGCCTGGACGACTGCACCCACATACAGACGTGGAATGGAAGGGGGAGCGAGGCGATTGGGAAAAATCGTTCTGTCTTTATCAGTTGGGAAAATATTATTAATGTTTATATATTCCAAAAACATAAAAACAAAAAGATAAGAAGGCCTTACCACATTCCTTACATTCTGAGGGCATAGTCTCTTGCCATGTCTGTCGCTGCTGCACAGGCTACATGCCATGAGGCGTAGTGTTGAGAGGGATCTTTAACTAATATAGATAATAAAATCCAAAAATAAAATAAAATAAAAATAAATGTAATAGTGGCAAAAGTAGAGAACAGTGGATAAACGTGAATTATATGTAGTCCCTTCGGAAATAAACCGATATTCTCCTCACCTAATGCAATATCAAAAATAAAGATAAGCATTTTAGCATTGGCGGGTATGCAAGCGAAAATGCTAGAATTTAATTGTTACACTAGATTGTTCCTCGCAGAAGAACTACGTAATGTAAATTATCATTCCCATAGTTTTAGATAGGCTTTCTAGCATTACTTTTGTAGTGTAGGAGGTACTCTTTTATGATCATTACTTGGCTATTTAGCTACCTCTATTATAGACAATGCATCAGTATGGTACGTAGGTCCCTTGTCCTCTTTTTGTGAGGGAGATTGTGGGATTGAAAGAGAGCGAACAGTTGTTCATGTGGAGGTATGCGGGACGGCTGCTGGAGATCAACTCGGTGGAGTGAGTGCCGTTAGACCAAGGACTTGAGCTTGGCTATCCTTAGAATAGGACAAACACATCCTTGCTGCAAGAGCAACCTACGTCAAGCAAGCACTACATCGAAGTTCAGCTGCAGTCTTAAACCTTTCTACCTCATTTTTCCTTTCTTCCCCTTTTTCCATCTCCTATTCAAGCAATGCAAGCAGGGCAGAGCCGATTGGCCTATAAGCCCAGTCATATTCCTTCACCTGTTCTCCTCCTTGTAAGCTCTCTTCAAACCTCCGTCTCACCGGACTTGCCATGCTTTGATGACCCATTTGGCAGGTGGCGAAGGTCTGACAGATGAACGTATGGAACATATCTTTTTTTTTTCTTTTCAAATGAAGGGTGAAAGATATGTGAAGGTAAAGTGTGTGAAAGCAAGGAATGTGATAGAAGAAGGTGTAGAGTGGTAAAGTACGCCAAGAGTTCAGGCCCATAATATGTATATACTCTCGCATCGTATATTGTTGACATGACCTTCAATAGTGTGTATGGTATACCGTACTCAGAGTAGAGGTCAAATTTTTTTGAGCAAAAATTTTTTGGTGTCGACATTTGCAATGAAGAGAGCACTACCCTTTATTTTCTCTTTTCATTTACAAATAAGATACCTCTTTATTTCCACCCAGGGAGCCATATTGGGGCCAAAGCCACTCTCTGTAGCAGTCACTTTGCCTTCTTGGCAGTCACATTTCGGCACGTGCAGACACCCTTTCGTTTTAATATGTAGGATAAAATAGTGGTGCAATGAAATAAAAAGTAGAGATGAAGTTACAAAATTTTTTATCTTTGTATGTTGAAAAATACTCTCATTATTTTTTTATACTCTCTTTTCTTTAACCACCTCAATACCAGTTTCTTCCATTCATCGCTTTCTTTTCATTGCTGTTTGATCTACACCACTACAACTAAACTTTTGTGCCGATTAATCGCAACAAATGACAACCGAAATTACGCTCTTTTGCATTGTTGATGGCGATTCCACAGCATTTTCAGTTGACATTCTACCAAATAAGACTGTGGATCATCTCAAGAAGAAAATCAAGGAGGAGCAATCGCCTTTATTTGATAACCTTCGTGCGCAGGACCTCATCCTCTTTCATGTTTTAATCCCATCCGCACCAAAAAGACAAATCGCGCTTAACAATCTGACTGCCGATGATGAGGCAAATAAGAAGCCGCAGGAACTTGACGACTCAACAAGCGAGATCTCTGAGGTCTTTGGTTCTACTCCAGCGAAGAAAACCATACACGTCATTATTCAGCGGCCATCACAAGGTAGCTCTTGATGGGCTGGCTACTGATATTTTCAGCCAGATGGAGCTTAAACTCCTGTGCATGACGTCATTGATCAACATTACTGTTCATGCTAACATGTTTATTTATTTTATTGCTGTTGCAATTGTTAGGATCCTTTGCAGGTACGAGTTCTCAAGTCAACAGTAAATGAGTCTATTTCTCAAGTAGACTTTCAGCATCGCAGATGCTCTGTATTCATTCCTTGGGTCTTTTGATTGAGTTTGCACACCCGGAGCCTATTCCTAATGCCCTTTCTTTTCTTTTTTTTTGTGGTTGTGGATTGAGTCAATTTCTCGTTTAATCTTTTGCTACATGCTGCAGCTTATTCTAACGCCTTTTCTTGAAACATTATGGATACTTAGGTCCAAGAGCTTTAGAACTAAATGATGAGGATGGTAAGAGATTTGTCGGGTTATATTACGGGTTATATAGCACATTAGTTTTTACGGCATATTAACATTGTCCGTCACATGTCATATCTAGAGAGACTCTGGCTTGAGAGAATCAAGAAGGAATTCTTCCAGGGAAAGGTCAAGCAATTCCTAGAATCATACGCCAATGGTGACCTTAAACTTCCACTGACTGGGGGAGTTGTGTCAGGTCTTCCGAAAGTCCCTAGGAGAGGAACGCCAAGCGAGAAAAAAGAATGGCCAAGTCTTCTTCTCCTTAGCCCATCGACATCTCTCAATAACACTATATACCATCCATGTGAAGAGGCAATCAAAAAAATTTATGAAGATGATCCTCGTCAACTATCATTGTTTGGAGTTAGTGGTTGCGGGAAGACCAGGACTGTCATCGAGATTCTTTCCCAGAAATGGGGCATCTATTTGAACGCCAGCAGCACCGATAGAGGATCCAATGACTTGACATCGCTTGCTAAGTTTATGCAAGAGGCAAATTTGGAACGGTTATATAATAATCAAGATAAGGCAGAAAATGGCCTTAACACACAAGCAATCACGCACTGCCTACTCCTGTCAAGACTACTGATCTTCCAACACTGTCTGGGATTGAACAAAAACCTAACTTGTGAAAGCTTGATGCTCTTGCAGGTTTGCCCCTCAGCTTTCAGCAAGGAGGTACCCGATATTTTTGACAAGCTTTTCAATACTATAGCCGCAGGCTTCCACAGGGGAGGTGTTGGAAGAGGGAACGTATGCCGTGTCGTTCAAAAAGCTTTTGAACAAGTTCAAAGTCAACTGAATCCATCGACCAAAATTCTGATTGTAGTTGATGAGGCTCAGAATTTCAGCCGAGTATTTGAGAAACGATTCCAATCGAACCTACCCGATAGCAGACCGAGGCCATTACTATCGCCTGTAGTCCATGGCCTTGAAACAGTAACCACGGATTCGCAACATGTTTGTATCATTCCGTGTGGGACTGGCCTTAGTCTTAATGACCTTCAATGGTTGGAGGATTCTGGCGCAGAAGCCAAAGGTACCAAGGAACCGGATGGAGGTCAATCCTATCGTATCACCAATTTTTCTGGATGGAGTAGTATAGCACAAATCACCGAATACTTAGAGCGTCTTAAAGATCAAGTGACTACAGGTCGTGAAAAAATCGATGAAATGATACCGCCAGCTGCAGTCGATACGATGTACCGACTCCTCCGAGGCCGATTCCGACCCATTATCAGCGTGATCGAGGGAACTATATGGAAGCACAATGCGATCGAGGAGACTAAAAGGGAGCAAAATGAGCCAGGATCTCAAGAAGAGCCAATCTGGATGAAGGAGATAAAGGACGTGCAACAAAGGCTAGCAACTTGCCCTGATGATTTGAACCAGAGGAAAAGGGGGAACTTATGCTCTGACTTTCATCACGCTATGAAGGCGCTTAATGTGGAGAAATCTGAGATGCTCTATCTCGTCAAAGTAGCACTTGTTCGCATGGTGTTATTTGGAGTACAAACTGTTATCGCTAAGGAACTTCCCCAACTTGTAGAATCGGCGCTTGGTAGGATGGAGTTTATCAAGTCAAAATCGTCAGAATATCGTACAGTGATCGACGAACCATTTGTGTTTCTTGCAGTCCACAATTACTTTCAAAAATCAGACCCTGGATTTCACAACATGATAGTTACCTTTTGGACATTCACTAAAGACCCCAAAATACATGGAAAATTTTGGGAGTGTCAAGTTCCTTTGAGCTTGATCAACATCTTCCACAACAAGACGCTTGCGAAAAAGATGTTTCCAAAAAATGCACCTCTGGATCTGGTTGATCACGAAGCCACCATAGTTGGATGGAAAAAATCCCGCATTGGAGCTGATTGCAGTGACTTGACTATGGAGCAATTCTTGGAGGCCCATTTCGACCATGATTCGAGGATTGATAAAAGAGAGATTCCTCCATTTTATTTCCCCACGGACGAAATCACTGGTCCAGACATTGTGTTTATTCTCAAGATCAACAAAAAGATGTACCCCGTATTTGTCCAGCTCAAATTCGTGAAGAAGCTTGATGGTATGAAAGCAGCACACGCCTTAGAGACAATTAGCCGCGACGCGATCAATGTACACCATTTGCCCAACTTTGACCGCTTTTGCCCTCCGAATGAAAGGTATCTTAGCTTGTTGTTAATGTATCCTGGAAAATTGTCAGATAAAAATAAGACCATGCATCCCCCAGATTCAAGGCAGGCTCTAATGGTGATAGATGAGGGCAACATTGCCGAATACTTTCATGAGAACGAGATTGAGCTATTGGATTCCATCAAGAGAAGTGGAGAGGCAATTGAGCATGGAAGAGAAAAGAAGATCAAATCCAACGAGCAAGAATCGTCCTTAACACTGCAAGATGGCGACTAATTGTTTTCAGAAAATAAAAAAAGCTTATTCATTCACATAAACGTTTGTAACAACCCAGTTTATTTTGTTGAACTCTCTTGGTGCGGAGATCGCACCTTCTTGGAAAACTGTGCGTGCTCTTCCAGCGTGTGAGTGCGCATCACAAATGATCCTCCTGCACTCTCACAAGCCTGGGAAAGGTCATCCTTACTCATCTTGAACACAGTCCTCCTCGTAAGCTCTGTTGGCCCCGTGGGATACCCAGATGCAGGGATCTAGCAGGCAGAGCTCGAATATCTCTGGTACATGATGAAAAAAAAAAAAAAAAAAAAAAAAAAAAAAAAAAGCAGGTTAAAAGTATGATTTGGAGCAGAAAGAAGCAGAATGAACCTCAATTTATAATCGCCATGGTCTGTCTCATTGCATTCCGGACAGTCAACGGACCGATCAGATTCGACGATGTTAATAAAGTCTACTATGTGGATCCTGCGGACCATGACAAAAATAAGGAAATACTACAGAGCGTTTTTCGCCGCGATTTAGTGATGCTCATAGGCGCACGTGCCTCTGGAAAAACAACATGGTTGTATCGACTTATCACCCAATTAACTGACTTTGGGTATCGCTGCCTCCCGTAAGCCAACTTCCGCGAAAATGGATAAAGTGGATGCAATGTATGCGCTATTGTACCGGTACTGACCTTATATTTTTCATTTAGACTATCATTTGAGGAAGTTAACGTTCGCAATAATGAGTCTGTTTTCTGGAGAACTTTTGGTGATGCGAGACGTACACTCGAAGTCAAATGGGTATGTTTTTTAAGCTTAGTTAACTCTCCACGAGTTGATGTGCCATTCTAATACAATGAATTGTGCTCAATGTCAATAGTCATCCAGGAATGATTTGTCTTTGTGGACGCTCCATTCATGAGGATCTTCGCTCGAAAGTCAACGGCTCGACGAAATGTCTCGATTACGATACATGGCAGGACTTCTCCACAGACAATCAGAATAAGAGGATGCTTTCGTACCATACTTTCAGAAGGATGGTCGATTCACTTTTGAATGAATCAGCTACAGATGCTGTTAATCTTCTCCGAACAGATTTTATTGGGTATCTCGGCGATATATCTATCACAGACATGGAACAACAGAGATTGGCAGACTTCCTAACTGCAGAAGGGGTGCTGATAAGACTTGATGGCAGTAACTACCGTATGGCCTCAGCATTCATTGACTCGTTTGTGAGGAGATATATTATCCCATTAATATATCCTCACGCTCCTTCAGAGTCACCCCCAAAGAAAAGAGGAGGATCATTGGATATTTTAGAGATTATGAAGATTGCTCTTCGATTTTTCGATAAAGACTTGATTATGCAGGCGGAAGATCGATCATACAAAAGTTCGGGGAGAACAGTTAAGGTTATGGGCGACTACAACGCCAGTGTCCCTCGAGAAAGCGTCTATGACACGGAATTGATGAGAGTTCTCACCAACTGGCTAAACAAAACAAAAAAATATGAGATCATTGGCTAGTGGCACCTCCGTGAGCGTGAGGACCACAAATATAGTGACATTGTCATCAAGAAAGCAGGAAAACCTACGGTTGTTATCGAGCTTTTGGCTACAGGGAATCAAACTTCTATTAAGGACCATATCAGCAAGACGCTAACTTACAAACGTTTGCTCCCAGCAGAAGAAGCTTGGGTTGTTCATTTTACCTGTGCGGACGACTATTTTAAGCACCCATACTGGCAAACCGACGCGGAACTGGACCAAGGGGTGAATTTGGTGCATTTCTGGCACGATAGGAGTTTTGATACAGTGCGGATGAGTGCTCGCTGGAAGGACAGTAGTGGCAATACTCAAAGAATTGACAATGAGCTGTTGACTATCTAACAGCAATTCTATTTTTTTTTTACCCAACATTGTAAGGACGTCCCATTTTGTTGAGATAGGCTTTATAATTTTGCAGATCTGTTTAAATAGCTGCTACTTTGTATATTTCGCATTGATTGCATTAAAACACTCTCTCTTCATTAATGACAAACAATTTACTTTATGTATCTATACCTTAATCTATATTTATATATTAGTCAGAAAGGCTTCGGGTCGAGTTGGGTAACCTGGCTGTCACGTCACGAGCCTTATTGCGGGACCTATTTTGGGGCAAATGATATCTATTCAGCAACAAATGTCGATGGATGCGGAGCATGTTCTACCAAATTTGTCGTAAGGACATAATATCTTCTATAACGTAAACACCATTCAACGTGGTAGCATCCACCCAATCTGAAGAACTATGTATATAGAATAATAATAAATAGTTGCTGACTTTTTATGAATAGGCGTGCTTGTCAGCCTGAAACGACACAAATTGGCATTGATTACCAGGCTCGCACAATTCGAGCTCGAACTTTTTGATACGAGAAATGAGCTTGAGAGTGCCATGGACACAAAGGGAAGTATAAAGAGAAGACTGAAACTTTCTTCATGACAACTGAAAATACAAATCGAATACATGATACTGAAGTACAAGGCATTTACCGCGAAACTTGGCTGTGTTAATTTGTTCTGAAAAAGATATCAGATCATTAAACTCACTTTAAATGCGCAAACCGGGCTTCATTACGACATCTGGGCTACATGGGCTCACAAAAGTGATGTTAGCCATGTACAGCCTTCCACATTTGAAAGTAGAAACACCAAATATTTTATGTTGGCTTCAACTTTAATGAATTTGACCCACTTATTGACACATCGATTGGGCCGCTGATAAGGCGTAATCGACGTCTGCCAAAAAATGGCCCGTGTCTCTTCCTCTGTATGCTCATATTTATTTTTTTGCTTTGTATCTCTTCCTTTTTCTTCCATTCTCTTGTGTCTCATCTCCCTCACTGCGTGTTGGTTTCGTTCTTTGTCTCTTTCCTCTTGACCACTCTTTCATCTTTCTTTTTATCTTTCCACAATGAGTGAATCCAACAAATACATTTTTTTCTTTTGTGCCAAAGGACTCGTGGGAAAAAAGAAAAAAGATGAAGAAAAATTACTCCATGAATGAATATCATGATCATTTAAATCGTTATCACTTATCCATCCTGGTTGAGTTCGAGTTAGAAAATACAACTGAACCTTTCCTCATTCATCGTAATCCCATGTCAGACATGGCCTTTCTCCTCTATTTTTTTTTTTTTCAACCGTACATCTGTGTTACAACACTACAAGACCTGTAAAGCCGCCGGTCCCTCCAGCCTCGAATGCCGATACATGTTCAGATGGCCATTCATTACAGGATAGTGTTAAAAAACATGAGGCAGTAATTAAGATACTTTGTGAGAGGATAGACGCTCTTGAAGAGAGGTATGACATCCTTTATTTGTTGTTGTTAATGAGTTAATAGATTCTTCTTTTTTTTTTTTTTAGATTAAATAGAGAAGAAGTTCAATCGCCATGTCATGATAAATAGCGAACAAGAACAGTAGTTCTTTGTTATTATTTTAAATAAACCTCTTTTCATATAAAACGTTCGTTCTCCCTCATAACTTCAAAACAATAACTTTCAGTTCTCATCCTTTACTTCCCCATTACTCCATGGATATCTTGAAATATGTTGGAAAAAATCTTCCGACAAAAAAGCAGATCCCAAAAATAAGGTGTACACTCTTTTTTGTCTACTTGATGGAGAACCGCTTTCTGTCCTCATTGATGCATCTGCGCTCTCCTACACCAGTGTTTGCCGACTCAAAAGCTTTATAATGGCAAGAGCAAATGTCAAAAAAAGATTCATTGCACGGGCTCGTGACATTGACAAAGCTTGAGAACATTCATAAATTATTTGACGTTTTTGAATCGTTGGCAATGCTTTTCGAATCAACAGAAATGAATCGAAAGAGACCACTCGATCATGACAGTGAGAATGAGTAAACAACGACTACGGCGTTCTAAAAGAACATTGGCAAGACATTTATGAAAAACCCGTTGAATAAAAAATCGATATTTATTTCTTTATGATTTATTTTCTATATTTTCTATATCTATATTTTTATATTTTTATATTTTTATATTATCATGTTTCTATATTTTTATATTTTATACTCGGAGATCTTTATCTTCAATACTGAGATAGAAGGAAAGATATTTTTGCTGTTGCATATCTCGCCTTTTATATTTTAATTTGGGCTCATTTTTTTATCTCCAGCGAATTAGGCTCACCATATTACATAATTCATCCTAATTTGGATATATGGCATGTTTAATTTTTGGCCGTTTTAAAAACCTTATTGGAGAAAAAGGAGGGAGAAAAGTTCCCACATGGTTAATAATAATAATAATAATAATAATTAATAATAATAATAATAATAATAGCTGGCTTGTGGCAGCCAAGCGTTCATAGCGACGTTGCTTTTTGATCCTTCGATGTCGGCTCTTCCTGTCATACTGAAGCAGAATTCAGTAAGCGTTGGATTGTTCACCCACTAATAGGGAACGTGAGCTGGGTTTAGACCGTCGTGAGACAGGTTAGTTTTACCCTACTGATGAAATGTTGTTGCAATAGTAATTGAACTTAGTACGAGAGGAACCGCTCATTCGGATAATTGGTATTTGGGCCTGCCTGAACAGGCAATGGCCCGAAGCTATCATCCGTTGGATTATGGCTGAACGCCTCTAAGTCAGAATCCGTGCTAGAACGCGACGATTACCGCCTTTTCCGATATTTAGTTGAATACGAATAGAGCTTCGACTCCTGAATCATGCTACGTGGGGTTATCTTGTGCTTCATGAGGTTCCTGCTAATGTTAATTTCAAATATTGGAAGAGATAAATCCATTGCAGACGACTTTTAAGCAACGGTGTACTGTAAGCTGTAGAGTAGCCTTGTTGCTACGATCGGCTGAGGTTAAGCACTTTTTGTTGCACAGATTTGTTCGAAAGAACAACATCTCTCTTTTATATTTTTATTTTTTATTTTCTGTAGACTGTCTACTTAAGGGTCTGTATATGAAGAAAATAAGACAGACTTGGAATTGAATTGTTTATTGCTTCTGTCACACTGCGTGCGATGAGGGAATGTCTCCTCGCTTTTATTGCTTTTAAAGGCCTTGTTCTTGACGTTTCCTCGCATTCTCCTTGTCGTGGCTTGAATTGCAGGCCGCACTTGTTTTTTGTTAATGTCGCGGATTACTCCACATAATCCGCTTGCTAACATTACTAAAATTGTAGAAGCCTCAGCATTGTCAATCAACTTCAGTTTTTTTTTTTTTTTTTTTTTGATCGAGGGGATTAATTCCAGGAGCTCCGTTATGGTGTTTTTCGTAACAGGTGCTTCTTGACTTTGGTTGGGACTATCAAGCTTTCGAAGTAGCTTTCGTAGTCGCTTTCGCTTGATTGATCTTGTATTCACAATCTGATGAAATATCGATGCAGTTGCCTTTACCCCCGATATGACCCTGCTGCCTTGGTAATAGTTCTCCAGTCGAAAGATTGTTGTAGAGTAGCATGCCCAGTTTGCAAATAAATAGAACATTGACGCACTCTGAAAGTACGTTGCTTTACAATGGAATTTTGACCTCAGCTGCCTTTCAAGTAAAAGGTTTTGTTGCCAGTCATCCCGGCCCCAGATTGTGGTGTATGCTCCAATATAGGCAGTGGAGTTGTTAGCTCCAACGTCAATGGCTCCTGAAACCAATTCAATTGAAGCCGTAATAAGGGCGCTCCATGTGTGGGTTCCAATAACGAGCTTATTGGTGTTGTCGTGGTTAATTGAAGGTACTTTCTTCAAATCCAGAGTTGGCTTTAATAGATCGAAGCAATGAGGGTCCTCCATTGGTTCGCAACCATAAACTTCAGCCTTCAAGATGAGGATCGCTTGCAATCCTGTTTGAATTACTGCTCCTGCCAGATTTTTGGCAATATCGAATTTCAAAGCCTCATAGTTTAAAAGAAATAATGTTGCATCTAATGGCTTGTAACGCTCAATATCAATTAGACGGCCATACCGATGCGATGATAAAAGGAACTTGAAGTCCTTTGGCTCTATGGAAGAAGGCTTCTTTGGCTTCTTGATGGGATTGATGGCAATGATCTGATATTCGGTTGTCCGCTTTGCTCCAATTTGAGTTAATAGAGCTATAAATCGAGCTACACTTTCATGTTCGAGTGAAAAAGGGACCATGGTCTCGAGAAAACAGTCGGAAAAAATTGGATTCTTCGTTGCAAGGTCAAGCTCCGCCTTTCCTTGCTTTAGCAGCTCAATGTCATCTGAGGCATCGCTTTCTGCCAGCTCTCGAGGCTATGAATGGGCACCGAAATGGTGGTCCAGTTCCAGTGCCGATTTCAGTGTTTCTCCGCATATGGGACAAACAAATCCCGAATCATTCTTTTTTCCGTGTCTATTTGTATGCTTCGTTATGCCATCTCTTGTTTGGATGGGCTTACTGCAAACTGGACAGACGAAACAACCTTGTACACGCAATAAGACAATTGACTCTTTGATCCCTTGTTCATTTACCAGTCACACTTTGCACTTCCTAGAGTGATATTCACGTGTATGCAGCTTTGCTCCTTCTTTGTCTTTAGACACTTCCTGACATTGCGGGCAACATAATCCTTTATCATTAGGCATTTTTTAGCGCTAGAAAAATGGTGCCAAAGAAAAATAGAATAAGTTAGAGACAGACAGCAAAATAAAATACAGAAAAAAATACAGACAGCAAGTGGTGTGAACTGAAAAAAAAAAAAGTGAGAAAGTGGTGTGAACTAAAAGAGCAGGCGGATCCAAAAAAAAAAAAAAAAAAAAAAAAAAAAAAAAGAGAGGGCGGACAAAAAAAAAAAAAGAGCAGGCGGATCCAAATAAAGAAATGAGGGAGCGGGCTCTAGATCAAAATAAAAAACAGAAAAGAGTGGGTTCGAGAAGAAAAAAAAACAGAAAATGCAGCAAAGGACAGGGCAAAAAAGACAGCAACGGACAGGGTGTGACAAGACAAGAGGATTTGATGAGAAGCTTTGCAACTTGGGAATCACATGCAAAAAAATAAAAGCGTGAAGTTGAGAGATCAAATAAAAAACATTTTTGGTGCTTATCCCTACCCCAACCAAGGCAACGCACAATGTCAACTCTTTTGCGTTCCCAGAGAGATTCAAAGCTTCTCTTGGTGGCAAAAAGGCAAGAAAACTTACAGGAAATGGAGGGAAAAAAAGATGAAAGAATTCTAGTATGTCAGCATTGTTGAAAGTTCACTGAAATAAATAGGAGGTATTTGATTTTAAGGGGTCTTATGTATTTACTTGAACGAGCCGGAGACCGTGGCTTCGCCACGGTCGGCTCTTGCCTCGTTAGAAAATTTAATGCTTAGCCTCGTAAGACAACAAAAAGAAACATTGTCTACAACAGCAAAAGGTTTATATTTTGACATAGGAATGAAGACAATAAACTCACGTAGGCCTTTGGCCTTTTACTACTGTAAAAATTATGTGTAAACTGCACGTTTTTTTTATTACAAAACTAAAATACAAAGCTAAAATACAGTAGATAAAACGCAATAAAGTAGAATACAAAATATACAAAATATACAAAATAAAATACAGACGAAACTACAATCAAGAGGGAGAATATCTGGTAATCACAACATTTGATAGATTAACGACGGCGAGGAGGTAACGCAGTAAATGGCAATCAAAAGACAATGTGGCTATAAAGCATCTTTGAAGACAATGTTCCGTGTGTATGTTCCTAGTCTATCTCTTACCTTGCCGTTCGCGATAAGTACCTTAAGATTATTTGGGTCTGTACACCGTGACAAAGCAACGTAGAGATGACCATGACTGAAAACATCTTGAGGAAGATAAACACCAATATGTTTGAGTGTCTGTCCCTGGGACTTGTTGATGGTCATGGCGAAGGCAGGCTTGACTGGAAATTGTCGTCTGCAGAACATGATCGGAGAAGAATGATCATCAAGTGTCGTAAGCGGTATGCGAGGAATGAAGACACACTCTCCTTGAAATTGTTCTTTCATAATCTCGGCCTGGATCATTCTTGTGCCTAATGCACGTACAATCATGCGAGTACCATTACATAGTCCGCGCTTTGGGTTCAAATTGCGAAGAAGGATGACGGGCTGACCAACCTTTAGCTCCAGTTTAAACGGAGGCAAGCCTGGTGGGGAGAGGTTGTTCAGGTATTCCACAGGATAGTGAGCCGTAGCTGCTGCTTCGGGGTCTTGAAGGCTATCTTGACCAATATAACTGACTGACTGCTGGGTGCTACAGAGCATACTGGTGGCTAGTTGATTCAGTTTATCGACATCCTCATTAAGGGGACTCAAGATAGCGCGCTCAATGAGCATCTCAGGAAGGAGTCTAGTATTTTCGATATCCGGAAATATAGTACGAAAAAATTAAATAAATTAAAAAAATAAAAAATAAAAAAAAAAAAGGAAATAAAGAGTGAATAAAATGTAGCTCACCTTCGCCTTTGTGTGGGTCTCTCATTTTCGATATCAAGGTCATGGTCAAAGCTTCGCTCGCGCACTGCTCCATGATTGGCTTCATTTTGGATATGGCTGCTACATCAATGGATCAATGGACAGTAATAATCCGTTATAAAGTCAAATCGATGGCGAGGAAGAGTATGATTATATGAAATATTTAAAGTACGTAGAGCCCACCTTTCAGCACTCGGACATGTACTTCGATTATGTCCTGGGCGATTGCAAGTGCTACACATATGCGGCCTTTGGGGCTGGCTAACAATATTTGCCCTTATATATATATGATGAGAATAAAATAATAGAGGGCTAAATAAATAAAATAAAAAACAAAATAAAATAAAAATAAAATAATAACTTCTTTACCCTCTCGTGGGACCAATAACCTGCTCCAGGCGTGAAGCGGACGGAAGGTTTGTGCGAAGCTCAACACGCTCTGTTTTTTGAGGGCAGAGCCGCCTATCATGCTTTTCACTGTTGCACAGACTACAGGTGCGGACCATGTGTTTATGAAATCTAGGTGCTGAGAGAAAAATTCAAATTGACAATATTGTAATTGTATTGGGTGAAAAAGACAGAAAAGGCCTTTGGCAGCGCTGCCTGCCTACTATATCCTCTACCACATTATCGATGGATAAGTTTTGACACTTTTATTTTATTTCACCGCCAGAAATAAAAACTGGTCAAAATGAGAATGATTTTCATTTTGACCAGTCATTATGGATTCTCCTGCGGGGGCTGGCTGCTCCAGAGAAGGACAAATACACTTATATTGAGAAGAGCAGCCGATGTTCAAGCATTCCCTGCAGCGAATCCAAGCTGCAATCCCAGTTTATCTTGCCTTTCTTCCTTCAAGTTTTCTTTCCTCCTCTTCACTCTCACTCTTTTCTCTTCTTTCTCCTCTTGTTCGAGTAAAGCAAGCAGGGCTATTCGTCGATGGAGCTGTAGAACCCATCATACAACCCTTCTTCAGCATCCTTTACTGCCTGTTGGCTTTGTATTAGTTCCTCTTCAGCGTCTACGGGTCGTTCTTTGATACGTTGCACAGCCCGCCGAGCTCGTCGTGCTTGGATAATATGTTGTACACCCGATGGATTTGGTAAAGCTGTGAAACGTGTAGAACGTGTAGAACGTGTAGAGCGTGTAGAACGTGTAGAACGTGTAGAACGTGTAGAACACGTAGAGTTTGTGGAGCGTGCGGAGCGTGTGGCAACCATTTCAAAAAATCAAATTAAAAAATTTAGGTTCGGAGGTGGAGAGATTGAGGAAGCTAATTATCAAAGAAGCTTCATGATATATATACATGCTTTTTTTTTTTTTTTTTTTTTTTTTTTTTGTTTCATCGTTTATTTTTGTTTCTCTTTTGTTTATTTTTGTTTCATCGTATCCCACCAGTCACTTCGTCTTTTTAAAGTCACCTTTTTTGGCTGTCACATAATTTTTTGTAATATTTTAATATAAGAAGAGATTAAGATTTTAAGGTTAGACTTTTATCTGAAACTCCAAATGATCTTCAAACTATGTTTCATGTTTAAGTTAATCATTTAAATCATGTGGTTTCCATCTAAACTCTAATTTCTATATTAATAAATAAATTCATACCACTTTGACTACCACTTTTGCTACCACCTACTGCTTTTGCTACCACTTACGAAGTTCATCCAGCACCAAACAGGTGGAGTCATTATGAGTAATTAAGGGGTCATATGTGATCTCTATTTGTGAACTTTTAGTTTTATATGTGATCTATCTGTCATGCGTTATCTTCCTTTTTTTTAAATGCATTAATACCCTCATTCCAAACACTTAATTTAATTCATTAATTCATTAATTTAAGTTTTGCCTGACTTGGGATTCTCTTTTAACAAAGGCAATACAACCTTTCTCTATTCTGAAATACCAACTCAACACAAAATATTTCATCTCAGCGCCTTAGTGAAATTACTGTGAGTCCAAAGAAATCATCATAAGCTATTTCTTGTGGATGAAAAGCTCCATGAGTTTATTTGGCCAAATCTTATTTGTTTCATCAAAAAAAATATAAAAGAATAACAAAGTCGAAGATGAGGATGAGGTCAATGGGGAGACACTACCTATTTCTTGGTGAGAAAAGTCTTGAATTCTGGGGTACCAACAGTTGAAATTCGTTCAAGAAAATGAGATCCTGGAGTGACCACTTGCTTCTTGCCCGAGGAAGCCTGTTTGAGGACATTTTGCAATCCAAATGTAATTGTTGTTTGCAACTCTAACCATGTCTTGATATCAACACCCAAATTTTTCAGACTGTTCAGGCTGTCTGGGATGGTTACATCTTTCACATACACCATGAGATAAAGGTTCCCACATCTGAACATGATGTAAATGGACATGACATGTGCAATAACCTGCCAGCCAGGTACAACTGCGTCAGTGATGCCAAAGTCGTCCTGCAGATGGTCCAGTGCATTCTTCAACATCTCACCAACACGTACAAGGTCTTTGGCATTCTTTTTCTTGTAGCCTTTCTGTGCAATCGAGGTTACTTCTGCAATGCCAACATTACAAATTGTTTTGTTGGAGTCATCCTTGAAGTTCAAACCTAGGTCTGGCTCTTTTCTGCTGATACTTGCCTTTCCAGCATGGTTTGCTGAGTCCACACTACATGCAAATTAAAAGAATGTGTTAGTACAAACGATTCAGACGTTAAAGTTTAAGAGATTAGTGTATCCATTAGAACTAAAAAGCAAATAATAAGTGTCATCTCTATTTACAAGTCCAAAAACAACTTCTTGTCTGGTGCACTGACAAACACTCTACAAATCGATAAGATAAATGACGAAATTGCTGTAGACTCAGAGTAAACTCTGGCTGTGTCTGAGGAAGGAAACTCTTGTAGAGCACTGACAAAATATGTCCACAGTCGCTGATGTTTGGGATCTTTTGCACAAGACAACAAGAACTCAAGGCACTTAGCCCTATCGAAATCATGATCCTCAAAGTGCTAGGAAAGGATTCAAGTTAGCAACAGCAAGACGTCTGGGTCCTTGAACCTATGAAGAAACACTTACATCAAGCCGTGACCGGACTTCATTACGCACTACTGTTACATCAACACTCTTCCAATTTTGTAAGGACTTTTTCACGGATTGCAAGAAATGATCCCCCGAAAAAGTCAATCTGATGTGCTGTTGCTGCTTTCGAAATCAGGATAATACCTGACCGAGCACTATAAATTAAAGGAAAAGAAAATGTAAATCTGTTAGTAGTTACATCCATCAGTATGCGCAGTTAAGACAAATTATGTTGTAGAATACAATACACTTACAGAGCTTGATCTGTGTCTGTCACATAGACTTTCTTTGCTTTTACATCTTGAAATAGCTGTCCAAAGCTACCTCCAATGTCTAGCCCATCAAGTATCGCTGAGAAGCGATATGAATCACCTGTGATGTCTGGAATCATAAAATCGTCTTCATCGACATCATCCATGAATAGATTCTCCTCACTGTATGTGGTTGGAATAAGATTTGGGCTGTCCACTGAGGTTGTTGAGATCCGTGGCATGGATATAGGGGTTACTATAGTTCAATAAAACATGCAAAGGACTGTCAACTTGAGTGAAAGATAAAGTAAGTTTGTCTGTGATACTGACCAAGACCAAGCTTACTCACCTCGTCGCTTTGGAGTCATTTGCAGACCTTCAACAAAGTTTGTGTTAAGACTCCGCTTCTTACTGTGTCCAGCCTGAGATATTATTGAATGCATCAAAGGTTCAGTATCTTTGTCAAGTTGCTGATGTTCAATGCTTTTTTTTTTTCAGTACGATGAATCGAGTCCTTGGCATATGACTCTGATCCTTTGACAAGAGTAGATGCAGTTTTCATCTGAGATGATTGTGATTGCCGGTCCAGCCAGAATTGGACTCCTTCATTGGCCTTCCAGTATTTGAATTTTTGCCACAAGTCTAATTTGATATCCATGTCCAGATTGCTATCCCGGATTGCTTGTGCGTATCTCTGGTGTCCATGTTGCTTGAAGTAGATATCAAATGCCTCAAAGAATGCAGGTGGGGATCTATCACTGGCAGACTGGATCCAAGAGGTGCCGGATTTAGTAGACATTGTGGTGCACAAAGAGTTCAACCCCTATGATAGTATGAAGGCGCAGGAATCATTCAATAGAGGTTTGTATCAACCAATTTACTTCATTGAACAGGAAAAAGCATTGACATAAATGAAACTGGCAAACTTCATGTGACAATAAGCACAGAGGACCAAAGGATTGTTTCCTCTTCAGTGACCCAAATCAAACGATGACATAGGCCTAAGGAAGAAATCTCACCAACGGCCAGAAAAGGTTTTCGCAGCCTGCTTTCCGATAGAACATCGAATGCACAGAAAGCATTGAACACAAGATGAAGTCTGCAAGACATGTCAACGAGCCAAAGGACAAAAGTATTGTATTCATCTTTGGTCACCCCAAATCAAACGATGACAAGGGTCAAGGAAGAAAACTCATTAATTGCCAGAAATGGTTTGCACAGCTACTTTTTCTGATAAAACATCATACAAGCAGGAGTGTTGAACATATCTTTCGCCGCATTTGATCAATAAAGCATCAAATAGGGAACAGTTTATAGAGAGCTAGAAGGGAATTTAGAAACAGAAATTAATATTTACCTTTTGGTGAAGACGTGTGGTAAACAACAAGCGTGTGGTGAGTCTGGCGACGACGGCGAGTGACGGCGATAGCCAGCCGTGAGAGTTGGTGACAGCAGTGGATACTATGAACAGGGTGGGAGTGGCTAGTAGGCGAATGTCGTGAGAGTGATGAGAAGAGGACGAGGGAGTGGCTAACGTTGAAGATACAAAGACAAGGGTACTATACAAGGCGATTGTGATGTTACAAAGACGAGGGTGATGATAGAAAGCCAGTGGTAATAAAGTGATGGAGAAGATACAAATATGAACCAATAAAGATTGGATGTTAAAAAAATAGAAAAAAAAAGTGATAAGAAAAAGAAGTAGAGAAAAATCCGATAAAGTAATATGAAGCGGAAAATGGTTTACAGTGGGAAAAAAAGAACGTAAAGAGAAATAGCTAATGAAGAACAATACAATCAAATGAGATGGAGGATTACCAAGAATAAAGTCGATGAAAAAGAATGGAAGCAAAGATCACCAATTAAAAAAATGGAACGCGATGGATGATGGCAAAAAGCAAGTTTTATATGACGCCAACGTCACCGTATTTTCTAAAAATTTATTTTTAGTGATGCTCGCCCCCTATAGTCCATCCCACCACAAAAAAAGGTCTATTAATGTTTGTTGTAGTAGAAGTCCTATTGTTGCTGCCCGCTTGATGTCTCTCCTTCTCCTGGGCTTAACAAAGGTTCCTTTGGTGGCCTTGATCCCTCCACTCCTCCTTCTCCGTCATCTGAGAACATTCGTTTGGTGGTACCATCATCACCTCCACTACCTCCACCACCGCTAGAAGCTTGACCTTGAACTCCTCCTTCTGGCGGCTTATATTTTGAAGGTCGTATTTGATCTTTTATCTGAGACTCACAGATCCGTGCAATATTTTCAGCACCAACAACACCCCGATCAAAGTATGCTTTACAGTTTCGACAGTACTTGGATCGATAAGGCACATTCTCCAATAAAGTATCACAGTGAAGTCGTGGACACTTGGCAGATGTGTAGTATTCGTGACAACCTACAACGGGGTAGCCTAGAGCTTTTGCCTATTCGATCCCAATATAATACTCCATGTTAATAAAGACTCGTAATGAAACATCATTGATCATTTAAAAAAAAAAAAAAAAAAAAAAAATTACCTTTTCAACAAGCTTCTTCGTCAATATCACATGCTTTGATGCTTGTCCTCGGTTTGTCTTGAATGCTCCAAGTCCAATACAGATCACCGCATTCGTGTTGGAGCCTCTTCTTCGTCCATTACTTCCACCTGTAAGCAGAACTGCCTTGATCACATAATCAACGCATCCTTTCTGTGCTTTTTTACTGTCCCAGGCATTTCGAACAAACCAGCCATCATTATAGAAATCGAATAGCGTTCTGTATATAGTCACTCTATTGCCATTACCGGCTCCAGCTCCAGTACTTGATGGAACTTGATTTGGCTGCAACCTCTTCATATAATTGAAATAATCTGTTAGAGTGGACCTTGAGAATGATGGGATGTTGCCTTCAATTGCTGTAATCCCTTTTTTATGCTTCCGCCTCTCTAGCTCACCCCGGAACTTAGTGGATGGCTTGTAAAGATAGGCTCTAGAAATCCGGAGGATGTCGCGCTCGTTGGGCCTTCTTGGATCCAACTTTGCAATTGTCATCGAGTACCTCTCGCCTGGATCGACCCCAATAATAACGGTATCTCCAGGGGGAGGACATTATGCCGGAGTCTCGTTTGTAACTTCTACATTATCGAGGAGACGGGAGCTTTGCTTCCAGTTGATCTCGCGCCGCACTGGAGGCAGCGGATCTGTACTCGATGCGCCTTCTTCAACTGCTTCTTCTTCTTCTTCGCCATCTAAGAACGGCTCATCAACTTTCAGCAAGTCTATGTCGTTGGCACCCAGCAAGATATCATCGTCATCGTCATCGTCATCGTCATCGTCTCCATCACCGTCGCCACCGCCTCGCCATGACCTGAAGACGAGGGTCCCTGTTGAGCACTTGAGGATGAGGATCCTCGCGGGACACTTGAGGGTGAATATCCCCGTTGAGCACTTGAGCTTGCCCGAACCCTTGAAGATGAAGATCCTCGCCGAGCCCTCGAAGATGAAGATCCCCGTTGAGCACTTGAGGATGAGGGTCCCTGCTGGGCACTTGAAGAAGTCTGGCCTGCTTGAGATGTTTGAGTGTTCGAAGGTCGGGCAGCTTGTGAGCCTCTTCTTTTTCGTTTTGACGTATCGTAGGCAAGAAGAGTAAGAGTAAGGCCATTTGTAAGGAATGATGGTCGTAATTTTTTCGTATGGCCGTCAGATTGCAGTCCAACACCCTTGTATCCTTTCAAGGAGAACAGTGATTGCAGCAATATCCTCTTTTGACTAAGTGTTGCGATTAGCAGTCATTTATATGGGTTTTTACTATAGCTAAGCTTTTTACCCTTTTAATTTAACGAAGATCCCTGGATCATAATAAACACATCTTTCTTTCGTTCTCGTTACTTATTATGATCCTGGCATATTTCAATTAGCACAGCCAAGTGTGGCTCGTGCTTAAATAAAGTTGCTCAACTTCTCTGCCTCTTTGCAAAACTGAACTCTCTTTTCTAGTTTTCATTGGACTATAAACCATGTAAACCATTGCATACCCGGCCACTTCCAGTCAAAGAAGACCGCTTGAAATGATGATCCAGACATCGATATGCTAAACCTGTACTCGATAAGCTGCATCTAACGTTTCAAAACAAGTTACATGTATAGTCCTTTTTTTTGTAGCTGTTGATTGTTTAATGAGCTTCGTTGCTTTTTGAATGGTTAGTTAATATTCTGAAGCTAAACCATCAGACTTCAATCAGGCCTATACTGTATAACCGGATATGACCTGCTTTGAAGAATTATCCCTAGTAAGCGCCATTTACTCAATGTATAGTTTGCAGAGGCCAGCTCAGAATGACCTCTGAAGGAGAAGACCAAATATATGGTTATGTATTACGAAGAAACTGTACTACGAGCTATCTCTTTGTTCCGGAGCTGCTGCTGCTATACTTCAATGATGGTAAGTGGTGATGGCAAATGCTGGTTTATCTGACCACTGGCAATCAAGTGAATAGTATAGCATAGCATAGCATAGCATACTCTTGACCCATATTAGAACCGTTTCGCATACTTTAAAATTACTACTATCCTAGCGAGAGAGATGATGATTCATTCTTGCTGCCAAGAGTCTGTGATCAAGTCTTCGTGCCTATTATTCGAGGCTCTTTTTAAGACTGAGAAGTGAGAGAGTACCAAGTGTCATCATATGCTTTGCTCTAATGTCTGTACACGCCTATGGGCCTGCACAAATTCATTTGGCGGTAAAAAAAAAAAAGCGACAGCATTACTTAACATGCCCATACGGAATGGTTTTTCCTTCCTTGATATCAGCTTACACATTCCTGGCACAAAAGAAAAGAAAAGAATGAGAAAGAGGACTCCTCCCTCCAAATGCTGGGCAATAATGAGTAGGAATCGTTACCAATCTGTGAGATCGGAAAGATCACCAATCAAGGAGTGAGAGAGTTGCGTCTCGCGTAGTATAAAGTGTTACGACAGGGACGGGGACAAAGATGAATGAGAACCATAGCTCAAGTACAAACACAATGTTATAGTCATCACATACACCTGGCTTTTTTTACCAACACTGAGGGGGCTCTACCAGGCATTTGTTTGTCAAGCTTGCTTTATTATTTTCTTTTGTTGTCTTGCAAAAGCAAAAGCTAGGACATGGTCAGGTTAGTGATGGCATCAACCATCACTTTGTGCTTGGCGAAGCTGTGTTCTACTCCACTTGTCACAGGTGGAAACTTTAATCTTTCCCATGCATGTGAATGTGCCTACACAGCCCATTCATTCAAAGCATGATCTCACGAATCCATCCTCATTTACTTCCTTCCTTTCATTCAGGTACCAAAAAACAGATCAGTCGAGCAGAAACGATAAAAACCAACTGACCCTTAGTCAACGCACATTGTAAAAAGAAAAAAAGAAAAGAATAGCTGAATGAGTAATTACCAAAGCAACAGTCGTACAAAGACAGGGAGATGCATGCGTCTAATCTTTCATCAGCTTTCGCCATTTGTCTTTCATCTTTCATCTTTCATCTTTTTATTCTTCATCCTTTAGTACATTAGCCGATTCCCTTTCTTTTTTATTAGTTCGAATCTCGAATCCTTAAAGCATACATGCATGTAAGAGACTGACAAACATGACTGGAGCACGCAAGAAAACCTTTTTTCACACTCACCACTGACAAACTGTCTTTTGACAGTCATTCTTCTCTTAGTGGTGTGGATAGGAATACCATCTATGAGCAAAGACGAAAGCAATAGACCATGTTTGGCAACACCAATTCTCTGTCACGCAGTGCACTCTCGCCTGCACAGGCTCTGAGACTCTTTGACTTGTACATGCAAGGCACTCGCACCATAGACGACGATCGCATCCTAGTGACAGAGCTATGCCTCGATGCTGACTCTGTACTGTCTCGTATTCAGAAGCCTTGGAAAAAGTCCTTTGCTTCAATGACTTCAACCTCTTCGACCTCTTCAGGTTCTAATGAAGACATGGTATTGCGCCAAGGTATTGGCTCAGCCTACTATGAACTTGCTCGCTTATTTGAGCAATTGGGTCACTCAGCTGATGCACAGAGACGAGACAAGAAGGCAGAGAAATGGGGATACATCCAAGGGAGCAACGACAACAACGACACCAATAACAGCAATGTCACTGCTAACCAACAAGTCAACGGACCCAGTGGTAGCAAATTGAGTAAGGTGATGGAAACAGTGCAATTCGCACCAGTACAGGCCATTGCAACTATATCAAAGGACATATTCAACCACAATGAATCTCCAACAGTCATCAGGTACAACTTATCAGATGCCGATGCAAGTCTGGATGATATTTACCAGCTTGCATATTGTCTCAGTCTGCTTCATATGACTCCTATCCAAACAAACGATCTTAATAGGCTTGAGAAAGAGTGGTATCAGGCCATATCAAGCAATCAGGATGAACATGGTCGATTGCGTAAGCTGGGATCGGATGTGGTTGAACTGTTTATCAGCGATGAGATTAAGGCCGAAGCTACTGTTGCTGAGGTTGTGGCTCTGGCGCCAGGTCTTGACCAAACACAGTTCAGAGCACTACTTGCGGCTTTGATCAATGACATCAGCCATAACATCATGCTGGGGATTCATTTACTGGAAGGACTGGCTCAGTTGATGCAACATGCTCCTCTTGGATACCTCGACTCGGATGACCTTGTCTCAATCCTCAATACTCTCAATTCTCGCTTGCAAAGCACACATACTCAATCTGGAGATCATCTATATCACCTCTCATCTACAGTCTCACATGTCCTCGATGCCATGGTCAACAACCAGGTCAAGGGTCTGAAGCGAGAACAACTCCATGAGCCACTTGCAGTATACCTCAAAGGATTGAAAGAGAGTTCAGACCCTCATCTAGTCTATCAGTCAGCTTATGCTTTCCAAGCACTATTGCACATTCCAGACGACGAATCGACAGTGCAAGGTATTCTCCGACGGACATCAGCAGTACTCCGAGGAGTGTTTGGAGTAGTGAGTGCAGTCAAAGACATGGATATGAATGCCTTTATGGATGAGATAAGCAACATCCAGAAAGGACTTCCATCAGTGACAGATATCATGGACAAGAGCCTAGAGGTGTACAAAGGAACAACATCACTCTATGAGAGTGGAGTGGCGTTCAGAGAGTGTATGGAAGAAGGACTCAGCTTCAGTCGCAAGTCAGGATGGTATCCAGCACTTCGAGTAGCTGATGGACTACTGCAGAGAGGCGAGCTGACCAAGTTCAAGACTCTTGTGTGTGAAGTGTCCTGTCGAAATGAAGCAGCATTCCAATGGGGACTCTGTCAGATGTTGGGACAGGTTGCAGCAGATACAAAGTGGAGCATGGATATTCGGCAAGATGCCGTCACATTCCTAGGAGAGATATACAGGAATGACAAGGAGTGGGGACAGCATATACGCATTAAGCAATGGATCATAAATATCCTTAGACAACTATCCTCGTTACCACCAGATGGTTTCCAAGGCATGTGTTCCATTCTTGTATGGATAATGTTTGGTGACAATGAGGCTAAACATTTTATACTAACCCACGTACTCTATACATGTTTTTGCTCCTTCTTTCTGTTCACATTTATTTTAGCTGCAAACACTCTTTTGAATGATCTCAAGGTGGATGGAGGTGACCAAAAACAGGAGCTATACAGGACCTCTCTTCAAGAGCCATTGATCCAGTTCTCCTCTGTTGCTACACTCTCTCGACCTAAATCTTCACACCTACTTGATCGTGCACAGAAGAAGCCAGATGTTGAGGATAACCTACGGAAACTAAAGAGACGGCGGATAGATGCTGGGAGTACCCAAAGCTTCTATGTTCAACAATATGCCAAAGCAAGTCCTCAAGCGAGCGATGACGAGCGGTTCTTGTTGATGGACAAAGTGAAAGAGTTCCTAGACAGCAAGCAGAAAGTGATGCTTGTGCAAGGAGAATCAGGAGCAGGCAAATCCACATTCAACAGCACTCTAGAGCGTATGCTTTGGGAGACATATCAAGAGAGACATGGTCGGATTCCACTGTTCATCAACCTTCCAGCCATCGACAAGCCAGAGAAGGATCTGGTTGCAAAGCAACTGCGAGACTACAGTTTCATAGACTCAGAGATTAAGGAACTGAAGATGAGTCGGTCATTTGTGTTGATCTGTGATGGATATGATGAGAGCATGCAGACCAACAACCTGTATGCATCCAACCAACTGAATAAGGCTGGCGAGTGGGAATGTCAGATGGTGATCAGCTGTCGCAGTGAGTATCTTGGATCGGACTATCGAGATCGATTTCAACCTATGGACCGTAATCACCAAGCAGATAGTGGATTGTTCCAAGAGGCAGTGATTGTGCCATTCTCAGAGGCACAGATTGAAGACTATATCGAGCAATATGTAGAATCTATGGATCTGCTGTGGGGTGTGGAGGACTATAAGCGCGCACTCAAGATGGTCCCTAGCCTACAAGAGCTTGTGAAGAACCCATTCATACTGTCGATGTCACTTGAAGTACTTCCGCGGATGGTGGATCCGGGTCGAGAGATCACCAAGAGCAAAATCAAGCGGGTCACGTTGTATGACCAATTTGTTGAGCAGTGGCTTGAACGAGGCAAGAAGCGACTAAGCGAGACATTAAGACCAGAAGATAGAAGGATGTTCAGAGTGTTGACAGATGAAGGGTTTGCACAGAATGGAATTAAATACCTGACAGAGCTGGCTATAGCGATCTATAAGCATCAAGATGGCAACCCAGTGGTGGAGTACTCACAATTCAAGGATATCGGTACATGGAAAGAAGCGTACTTCAGCAAAGGGAATAGAAGGAATTTGCTACGTGAGGCTTCACCGCTCACTCGCACAGGCAATCAATATCGGTTTCTGCATCGATCTATTCTGGAGTACTGTCTAGTACGATCGATGTTTGAACCTCAACCGATGATGAGTACGTCTGTAAACGATGGAGAAGCAAAGGTGACTACACCGCCACCGTCTCGTCGACAGAGTATTAGTTCGATGTTCAGTTTCGAAGGCATGGATATCAAAGGGAGCGAGCAAGAA